TTAAATTAAATTTCAATTAAGCTCTTTAATTATTAATTCAAGATTAATAACTGTTTTCAATTTCTCTTTTTTCTTTGTTTTAATATTTATTCTTTTTTATTTATATTCTAACAAAATGATAAATGAAAAACTAAATCAAAATTAGAAACTAAATAAAAAATCCTTAATAAAATAAAATAAAAATATATGAGGAATTTACAATATGTAATAAATCAAAAAAATTAAAAAATAATTATTGAAGGGTCAAAAATAGATCATGACAGTTGTCTCCTGCTTTAAATTGCTTACGACGTAAAGTTAGTGAAAAGGTGGCATTCATTTGCTTTACTTGTTAAGTCCGTAAAGAAAGATGATAATGTAAATAGTACGTGTCTTCTAATTATGTCTATTGTTAGACGATCCAGACTTGATTGATGGTTTATTATTAGGCGATTTGATTTGAATGATGATCTAGTATTAAACAACCATTCATGAATGATGGTTTATTATTAGATGATCTAGCTTGAATGATGGTCTATTGTTAGGCAATTTTGTCCGAATGATGATCTATTTTAGATGAACATATATGTCAAAGAACCATCTCAATCCAAAAATTTAAACTATTAAGTGAGGCTTTGGGCATGGTTTTATATTACTCTCTAACATATCTCTTCAAGTGAAAGCCCGTTGAAACTTGAAACTTATACAAGCCCACCATTACGTTATTTTTAACTATTTAATTAGAAGAGAAAGTGAGATTCAAACACTCGACTATTTGATCATCAAGGCTCGATACCATATTAAAAAATCATCTTAAACTAAAATTTTAAGATTAGGTAAGGCTCTAGGAATGATTTTGAAGTTGGAATAACACAATGTCTCAAAACCCTACGTAAGCTCAATCAACAATCATAAGATATAATCCTCAATATGTTATTCTACCTCAATAAACACAACAATAATGTTGCAAGTCTATAAATAATCAAATTCCTACTTAATCCCAAACACACAAATCATAGTTATCAAATAAGGCACATAAACAACCCAACCAGGGTAAGGGTGATCCCTAGGTTATACTTGTCCACACAAGTTAAAACTTCACCAAAATCTACCCAACATACAACGAGTAGAAGTATACAAAATTTCAAATCAAACCAAGTTCCCTAAGGATTTATTTAGGTCATTCAAATTTTTATACTCGAATATGTGAGGGATCATGCATCCTATGGAGATATGGAATAAAACGAAAAATTTTCTCTATCTAAAGTTCCAAAGATCAAGTCATTGAATCAACTAATCATATATACATAAATTAAAGTATAAATAAAGAATTACCTCTTGTAGCATAGATTTAAACCTTTACAAAAAGGAGCCATTCAAGCATTGCTAATCTATGCAATTCAAGCACCCACACAAGAAGCACTCAAAATTAGTAGAGTGCTAGCTTCACCTTTTCCGACTTGTTTAGTATTTTTATTTTAGAAATCTATTTAGGAATATTTTATGACAACCTTAAAAGAGATTGGAGAAGTGGCATGAGCTAGGGTAGGGAGAAAACTATTTTTCTACTTTGTTTTTTTTTTTTTTTTGTAGCCCTAACATTAATTCCTCTTTGCCGCACCTCTCCTTTTATTTATAGGGGAGAGGCTTCCTTGTCCTCCAAGGATAAGGAAGGGGCGGCAACTTTTCCCATGTGGACTATATGTTATTGTTTCCTAATCCTTGAAGGATTAGGGGTTATTATGGATGTTGGTTTTTTGATATTATCCTTTATAGCATTCATCCTTATTCAATAAGGTTCATGTTTATCCTCCCATCAAAATATCTTTCATGCTTTTGATTAAACCTATTAGCCTAAACTATTTTGGCCCAATTAATTAATTTGGAATATCCAAATAAATTAGATATTTTTTAGGAGGTATACATTAGAAAATAATTTCTCAAATTACCCTTAAACCTAAATTAGCAAACTAATTTCCTTTTTAGGTAATTTACTTCTAAATTTGGAACTACTTCCCAAATTAGGAAAATGATTTCTAAAATAAGAAACTTTTCATTTTAAGGAACTTCCATTTAAGGAAACTTTTCATTTTAAGAAACTTTTCATTTTCAATAATCTTTTCCAAAATTGAAAACTTTTTCTAACATCTTTGCTTATCTTTTATTATGTGAATGCTTAAGCTTATGCATGTGAATCAATAAGCTCTTAGATATATTGATAATGTCTCAAGAATAAAAGACACCTCTTTTATCTCTTGATACATAAATCAAGATTGGCCTCTACCAAGACATCGTGACTACCCAATTATATAAAAATGATTAATTGATTCATAAATACCTTTCACGAGCATAGTTACCATACAATTTAGTCCTTATTTCAACTTATCATAATGTGATCTCAAACTTAGTTATTAGTCTATTTGATTGTGATCACATAAGTTTTCTTTCATTCTTAAATATCTTAGCTCTTAGAGTAAACCGACTATGCTCTATTAGTATACTTCTACCATAGTCATAGATTTCTTGAGCGGACATTCATCGAAGTGTAATGTGATAACTCCTTTAGCATACAAGGAATGACATATCCTCTCTTAGTCATCCACCTATCTCTATTAGATTCCTAATGCACCTAACGAATTATCCATGTGTAACCCTTTACTAGGTCCATCGAAACGAATGCCAAAGTACATAAATCCTTTAATGAGATAGCTATTATGATTTCAAGTCTAAGAACTAGTTGTACCTATTTAGTATGAAATTCCTATAGACTAAACCAAATAGGTTCTCATGGTAAGTCAAGTCAATGATATATTTTCTAATATAAATCACTTAAGTGCTTGCTTTAGCATCATCATGTTAATAAGTATGAGATCTCATACTACTATCATATAGCATGAGCCTAGCACTCAAAAGTTTAACCGCGTATAGTCAATGTCCATTTTTGACAATGCTATGACTTGGGACATTTAATGACATCATTTATATGACATGTTTGTCTCATATCCGTCGATCAATCATTAACACAAATGCATATAATATAGACTTTTATCTAATTCTATTCAATAAATAAATGTAAACGAAAAGAATTAATATAAGTTCTTTTTAATATTGATAAAATAAATAATACAATGATATAATAACTTAAACCTATCCAAATATGATTAAATCTTGGGCACCTACATTAATAATCTATGTCAATTTTATTAAGAAACCATTAAACCCTATGGAAGCTTAATCAACAAATACAAGAAAAGCATCAATCAACGAAGTCGAACCCTTCCTTAAGGTTTTCTTCATCAAAATCAATAATAAATAATAAAGACAAGTAGCAATGTACCTTCTTTATAAATAACCCTAACAAGGAACTAGTTGTAATTACCAATCCAAGTAATTCTCAATTGCTAGGAAACTTCAAAGCATATGCCACCCCTACCCTTACTTATCCGATTGTCACCAAACATTTTATAACCTCTAACTAGGTCTTAACGATATGAATTACAAAGTTACAAATTAAATAGATAATTCCAACCCTATAGTTAATGTAGGTTGAATCCTCTAAACCTAGAGACTAGGTTTGACTACTTTTAACAATTAATTCAAACACATACAAATATCAAACATGCAAGTCCTACTATGCAATCTTAAGATCCATGAGCAAAGATAAAAGGTACTTACAAAATGAATGAATAACTCATCGAGCTATTCGGACAAGGTTGAGTCATTACCTCTCAAAGTCAACAAGCAATAACCATTGCTCATGGCTTCTTAATGTTGATAAAGATCTCATCCCAAACCCGTAAAATAATTCGATAATGACATAAGAAGAAAATAAGGCCAAAATATTTAAGTGTCCGTAAAAAAATATTTAGAAAATTAAAAAAAAAAAAAGCAAAGGCCAATACAATGTAACACAATCCTCATTATTTATACTACTAATGAATGACTAGCCCTAGTAAAAATTGCCCAAAAGGACTAAAAAATCTAGTCCTAACCAATCTTTAACACTAGAATATGAAAATGACTCTTTTTTATAATCCATATGTAATTTGAACACTTTATAATTAGTCCAATAGGATAGATTCACATAAGTATACAACTTTAAATATATAAGACTCATATAGGAAATAATTTCTACATAACAGGAAAACCAACTTCCACAAAGATTCTTTTACCTCCTCAATCAATCCTACTTCCAAACTAAATTCATACAAAAACTTATGTACATATTCCATACTTTTAGATAACATATTGTGGATCCGAGTTCTTTATAAAAGTTATCGACCTAAATATATTCTTTCATTAGGCTTTTGATTCTTATCAATCTAGTACATGTAGCTCTATATATGAATTAAACACTAACCGAGTGCTTAAGTTTAATAGATTAACCGATTCTAGATCCGATTTTGAAATAATTTTTAAAAACCTAAACCAACTAAGATTTGTACAAATAAACCCTTAAGATGCCCTATTCAATCTTTATGAAGGCATCTTTCGATTGAAACATTTTAAGGTTGTCGAATTCTCTTCCTTTTCTCTAAACATCAACTGACAAAATTTAAAAGATAGAATTAAAAATACGGATAGAAGATCTAAAATCTTTTACCTTTTAAAGTTTTATAATTTTTAGTCATGTTGGAGTTTAGACACTTCGTGTCATGCTCTCTTAGTTGGAGAAGAGAAGACCTTGACATCTTGATCTATCTTCTATATCTTCTTGGTAAGGAAAAAGATCAATCTATTTGAATGTAGCTAACACGGATGAAGCTTTAGATAGACCAATTTTGTATAAATACTTGCACACTCTTTCCTCTACTGGGGATGGACCCTTCATTTCGTCAAACTTGATAAATCTACATCTTGCCATCTACTTCTCTCTCATACAAACCCATACCAAGTGTCCCTTATTATAAGTTGGTTTAGTTAGTAATCTAGAGACCCAAATCCACAGTTTCTTACCCTCCAAATCAACATGATTATCACTAGACTTTTTCACAACAAACTTAACAACTTTAATAAGATTTTCAACCTTTCTTTTTTTCCTTTCGACTCGTACTTCTTTTGGTAGTAGCATTTTTTAGCTGATTCAAATCTACTTCGATAACAATAGCTTTAAAATAGTCCTCCATCTTCTCGGTAACAACATGAACTCTCTTGGTAGCAACCCAACCTGTCTTGGTAGCTTGTTTTGCCCTTTTTGTAGCCTCTTCATCATGATTTTTGCCCTTTAACACATATATGATAACAACCCCATTCCGGATAAAATCATTCCCCTCAATGATAGCTTCATTAACCCCATAACTCATCTCAAAACCATCAAGCATTTTGCTATGCTCAATCATGCCATGATGCATAATTTAAATCTTCTCATCAAATCCAATATCAATAACATATGGAAGATCTAAACCACCATCATTATAGACATCATACCTTAGACTATCATTCACACACGCGTCTCTTCAACATAATCATGCTCAATCATATAAGCCTCAAAACTTATTGAACAAAGATATCCATATGTTTTTAATTACTCCCTAGTCATATGTGTAAGTTTTGGATACCCTTCGTAGGTAGCTTTTCGATTAAATTGTTAGTGTAAGTGCCCAAAGATCTAACCATGTTTGGATAGGCTCGAGTTAATGTATTATTATATCATTTATTTTAATAATAGTAAAGAAATAATTCTATTAATTTTTGTGTTTCATATTGATAAATTCAATAGAATTATATAAAAGTCCTTATGATATGCATTTGCAATAATGATTGATCAAATGATGTGAGATAAACACTAATACATATAAATGATATCATTAAACATCCTAAGTCATAGCATTGTCAAGAATGGACATGGACTATATGCAGATAGACTTGTGATTGCTATTCTTATGTTATATAATAGCAATATGAGATCTCATACCTATTGACATGATGGTGTCAAAGCAAGCACTTAGGTGATTTATGTTAGAGAACATATTACTTGGACTTGACTTGTCATGAGAACCCATTTGATTTTAGTCTATAGGAATCTTATACGAGATAGGTACAAATGATCCTTAGACTTGAAGCCATCATGGTTGTCTCATTAGAGGATTTATACACTTTGACACTCGTTTCGATGGACCCATTAAAGGGTTGCACGTGGGTGATTCGTTGGATGCACTAGGAATCTAATGGAGGTGGGTGTATGACTAAGATAGGATATGTCATTCCTTGTATGCTAAATGAGTTATCACATTACACTTTGATAAATGTACGCTCAAGAAATCTGTGACCACGGTAGGAGTAAACCAATAGAACATAGTTGGTTTACTCTAACGGTTAAGACATTTAAGAATCGAAAAAAACTTATGTGATCATAATCGAATAAGACTTATAACCAAGTTCGAGATCACACTATGATAAGTTGAAATGAGAAGTGGATTGTATGGTAACCATGCTCGTGAAAGATAATAATAGATTAATTAATCCTCTTAGAGAATTGGGTAGTTATGATGCCTTGCTAGATGCCAATCTTGATTTATGTATCAAGAGATAAAAGAGCGATCTTTTATTCTTGATACATTGTTAACATATCTAGGAGCTTATTGAGTCACACGCATACATTTAAGCATTCATATGATGAATAAAAAGCAAAGACATTGGAAAAATTACTTTTTTTGAAAAGGGTTTCCAAAATGAAAAGTTTTCCTAAATGGGAAGTTTCCTAAAATAAAACATTTCCTTAATTAGGAAGTTTTCTATTTTAGAAATAATTTTCTTAATTTGGAAGATAGTTCCAAATTTGAAAACAAATAACCTAAAATGAAAATGAGTTTCTTAATTTAGGTTAAAGGATATTTTGAAAAATTATTTCCTAATATTGACCTACTTAAAATAATCTAAGATTATTTATTTAGACGATCTAAATAAATTAATTGATCTAGAATGGTTTTGGCCCACTAGGTTTAATTAAAAGCCTTAAGATATTTTGGTGGGAGGATAAACATCAACCTTATTGGATAAGAATGAATGTTTTAAAGATAATAATTAAAAGTCCACATATAAAATATCTCCTCATTCTTGGAGGATAAAGAAGCAACAACCTAGAGTCCTTAAAGGGACTCAATGTCACCCCTCTCATTTTCCTTCTCTCCTATAAATAAATGTGTGTGAGAGAGAGAGAGAGAGATGTAGCAACACAAGAAAAAAAAAGAGAAAAAGAGAAACTCGATCAATCCTAAAAAACCATTAGGGCATATGACGAGAGAGAGAAAAAGGAGAAAATAGTTTTCTCTAAAACCACGGTATGCCATACTTTTTCTTTCTCTTTTAAGGTTGTCACAAAAATTACTCAAAATAGATTTCCATAGGAAACACTACACAAATAAGAAAAAGTGGAGCTAGCACCCTATCGATTTTGAGTGCTTCTTTATAGGTACATGGACTAGGTGGATCATTAATAGAGGCCGGACACTTAGACTAATTTTCCGATAAAAGAATTTAGATCTCGTGCTATAAGAGGTAATTCTTTATTCATTTCTTTAAATTTATACATATATGGTTAATAGATTCAATGGCTTGATCTTGGACCTTTAGATAGAGAAAGTTTTTTTGTTTATTCAGCACCTCCATACGATGTATGATCCTTCATACATTGCCATGACCTTCCCAAATGTATGTCACCCATAGTTATAGGAACAACATTACATAAAATATAGTTGGCATAACCTACATCCATAGTAGCAAAAACTTGACTATGAGTCATCTTCGAACCTCCACCGTTATTAATCCAAGATATATCATAAGGTTTATAATGTTTAACTATGGGTCTATCTAATTTTTAAGTTGGAGCCTTGGCTATCAAGTTCTTACTTGATCCATTATCAATGATCATTTGACAAACTATCTCATCCATTCGGTAAAGTGAATGGAAGATGGTCTCTCGTCTTCACTCATACTTTTGGGTTAACAATCTTTTCATCCTCAATAGGTTAAATGGCTAACAACTTACCTACATCCTCAATATGTATGCCATCATCGGCATGAGTCTCTTCTTCACCTTTCTCGATTAGGTCACCTTCAATGCTAACTTTTGACCCCATCCCTTTTTTTTTTTTTTAACTAAAGTCACTACTCTTTGGTTAGGACATTCCGAAGCAATATGCAACATACACGAACACTTGAAAAACTATATAGGTCTATTGGTTGAACTCCTTATGCTAGGTTTGCTAGCTCCATTTGACTAAGTCTCTCCTCTTGGTCAAACCCCTCTTGGGTTAGGCATCGAAGACCAAATGGAGAGACAACAAAGACCATCTAGGTGTTCGAGCATGATCTCAATTATTATTTTTATACATCATGATCACACTCAATGAGTCGGAATATGTAGTACAAATCAAAAATATTTTTTAAAAAAACTTATGTTGTAAGGAATACGTTAAAGTTAACATAGTATAATAAAAAAAACTAAAAATTTTATTTCAATAGAATTTTATTATATCAAGAATAAGCAAAATAAAAAACATTAATTTAATTATTTAATTGATAATTTATTTTTTTTAAAATAATTAAAAAATATATATAGAGAGAGAAAAATGAATCATATTTATTAATAATAAAATTACATAAAACAGAAAAATAAGAAATTAGTTTGATGAGAACTTTTGTAAGAAATGATAAATTCAAGAGATTAATTTTAAACAATAAAAATAATATAATTCGAATTATATTATTTATCGAATTATATATATACATACATATATAGATAGATATATATATATATGTACATATATGTATGTATAAAATTGACTATAAAGAGAAGAATCAAAAGAATCGAACTACCTACTCTTGAGGTGAATTATAGAACACTAAAAGTCTGTGGTATCCTATTACGAGAATAGCTTCGGCACGCTCGTTACAATTTTGATCGCCTAATAACCGAGTCCCAAGGTAAGGAATAATATATATATGTACATATACATATATATATACATACATGTACATATATACATGTATGTATGTACATGTACATATATATATATATGTACATATATATGTTAGTTTTAAAATCTGAAAATATGAGAGGCTAAAAATATTTTTTGAAAATACTAAAATATCTTTTTGAAAAATGAAGGACCAAAATGAAATAAAGTTAAAATATAATTAAAAATATATATAGAGAGAGAAAAATGAATCATATTTATTAATAAATAGAATTACATAAAACAAAAAAAAAAAATAAGAAATTAGTTTGATGAGCACTTTTGTAAGAAATGATAAATTCAAGAGATTAATTTTAAACAATAAAAATAATATAATTCTATATATATATATTAGTTTTAAAATCTAAAAATATGAGAGGCTAAAAATATTTTTTGAAAATACAAAAATATCTTTCGGAAAAATGAAGGACCAAAATGAAATAAAGTTAAAATATAAGGTTGCCAAAAATATATTTAAACAATAAGAGATAAAAAAATATGTTTTAAAAATATTAAGGACCAAAATGAAATATAATGTAAAATTTACATATGAATGCTAAAAAATAACTAAGAAATCACGAAAATACCACCGTAAAAATTACTAAAATTATCATCGAATAAATAATAAATGAATAGTGATTTGTGAGAAAATGAATAATAATTATTATTCATTTTTTCCATCTCTTTTAGAATTTTTGGTTAATAATAGGAGCAGAGTGTCTCCATGCTTTTGTTTTTTTTAATAATATAATTACAGGTAAGTTTGTAACTTTCTCTTTCTCTTTTAATCAAAACTACTAAATCTCGCGTCCTCATAAAAGGGTCTAAGTTTGTTTTATTTCTCTTTTATAACCAAACTTGCAATTAATTTTAATTCTTTGAAAGAATAATTTATTCGAGGCCATTATTTTGCAACTGTCGAAAAAATAGAAAGATATCTCACGGATCAATTAAAACACAAGAACTAGTGCTTTTAAACTTTGTTATTCCTTTCAATTCAATTGTGCGTACATAAAAATAGAGAAAATGATTGTTAAGTTTCTAGATTTGATCAATGATTTTTTAAATTTGACAACAAATCAATTATAATGTACAAAGAGATGAAGAATTTATCAAGAAAAAAAAATGATCTTCGGGGTTCTAGATTTCAATTATACTTGAAATATTGAGAGAAAAAGAGAGAAGACCAAAAGGGATGAACTGAGAAAAAGCGGATTGTAGACATTGATTTCTTTCATATCTAGGAGTAGGAATTGATTTCTTTCATATCGAGCGAGTAGGAATGGCAATGGGGTGGGGTGCCATCCCCGCCCCGCCTCTGAAAATTTTACCCAAAATTTATCATACATTCCCCACCCCAAACGAGGATAGGGTTCCCTGCGGGATACTCGGTGTCCCATTTAATTTTTTTTTCGTCTTGTCTTGTCTCATTCTACTATCAAATTTCAAACTATAGCAAAAAATAATAGTTTACAAAGAGATGAAGAATTTATCAAGAAAAAAAATGATGTTGGGGTTCTAGATTTCAATTATACTTGAAATATTGAGAGAAAAAGAGAGAAGACCAAAAGGGATGAACCGTAGAAAAAGCGGATTGTAGACATTGATTTCTTTCATATCTAGGAGTAGGAATTGATTTCTTTCATATCGAGCGAGTAGGAATGGCAATGGGGTGGGGTGCCATCCCCGCACCGCCTCTGAAAATTTTACCCAAAATTTGTCATACATTCCCCACCCCAAACGAGGATAGGGTTCCTCGCGGGATACCGGTGTCCCATTTAATTTTTTTCGTCTTGTCTTGTCTCATTCTACTATCAAATTTCAAACTATAGCAAAAAATAATAGTTTATATAGAAAATAAACCCTAAGAGTTAGTAGTCACATATTTTATATAGTGTATAATTATAATTTTAAGGATGAAATAGGACAAACGGGGTAAGGCGAGCAAATACTATCCCCGCCCCATCCCCGTTCAAAATAAATACAAGGCGCCTCGCCCCGCCTCGTTCCCTATTCAACAAGAGGAATCCTCACATTGACCCCGGGGCAAGGCTCCATCAAGGCGGGACAAATTGCCATCCTTATCCAACGATCGGCAAAGAAACAATTTTTTAATGGATTATATTTTTTTTCTTTAATTAAGTTATTTTATTTGTCCTCTTGCTTTAATTTATAATTTCACTACCTTATTTTCCTTACTAGTGCTTTCATTTTTCTTTTTCTTTTTCCCCTAAATCTTTGATTCTCCTTTTTCATTTTTTTCCCTCCTCTATTTATTTATTTAGTAACCATCTTCATCATTGTCTCGTTTCTATAGAGACATAAATAGTATGGAATTCTCTATAGAGGCATAATCCTACTATCGTTATATATGTTTTCAAACAAAACAATATTGTTTTGTAACACCTTAGAACAATTATCCAAGCAATGAGTACATTAATGCAAACAATATTTCTATTATGATATTGATAAACAATTAGCATAAACACATTCATATCTTTAGGTAGCCTTTCAAATTTGAGGTTAGATTTGATTGTATGAAAACATCAAATTACAATTATTGTGAAAAAAATCTTACGAGAAAAAAGAAATAAAATAAAGGAAAAATAAGAAGAGAAAACTTAAAAAGAAAAGAATAATGATAGTATAATCATAATTTAGAGAGATTAAATCTAATTTATTTAAAAAGATGTGAGCAAATTGAAAATTTATCATCACGTATCAATCACTAGAACTATAGAAATCAATGATTTATAAATAATGTAAAAGTTTCACTATTTACAAGTGGATTTCTATTCACAAACATGTACACATATGTTAGATCTCTTAAAAAAAAAAAAAAATCACTGTTTTTATCCATGTTTGATACACGTTTTCGGAGGAGGAGAAGATTTTTTTTAAAAAAGGCTAACATTTAACCTCCAAATAGAAGTTCAACGTTAACAGCAAAGAACTTTGAATTTTGTGTTTCCTTTTTTTTTTTTTTTTGCCAATTTCCCTCTTCTTACTTTGAATCTCACTATTAGAACCACAAATATATATTATTCAATGCTTTTCATAGTTTTATTTAATCTCAATATTATCCATAATTTTTTCAAATTCTACCGAACATCTTTGATTCACCTCCAAACTTTTTATACTCTTAACACTTAACTTTTAAATCTAACCTTTTAATATTTTTCTTCTAAAATTTTCACCTTAATCATACCAAACACAACCTTAAATAATTTCAATCTAGCTTAATTTAATTCTTGATTGTAATATTTTCTCAACATTAGTTACTCAAAAAATGTGCAAGACATGAACTTGTGTTTCCTAATAATCTTTTTTATTGTGATGAGCAATGTATAAAAACTCACCATTATACAATACAAGACTAATATGAATAAAATACATACACACACAATGATAGCATATATAATTTTTTAACCAATCAAAATTTGACTCCTATATGCACACCATGACCTGACCCTTTCCCTAAATATTTTTCCGGTAAAATTCATTTTTATTCCTATAAATCCACAAAGTTCCACCTTTTCTCTCATAATTTAATTTTTTGAAATTTTACCCTTTCAATTTTCTAGAAAGTTCCAGTTTTGCCCCTAGTCGTTTAACAATCTATTTTTTTTTTAGGATTTTTAGTTTTTAATTGAGATTATAATATTATAAAATAAGAAAAAATAAAATAAAAAGTGAACAAGGGTAAGCTTTTGTTAGGAAAATAGGGTGAAATTGAAACTATTTAAGAATATAGGACCAACATTAGTAAAGTTTAAACTATAGGGATAGCATTGAAACATTTATGAATCTATCAAGTCAAAAATATGGTTTAAATTTCCAGTACATCACATTTATAATATCTTTGGATAGCTTTGATGTTGAATTATATTAATAAAAAAAAAAATCGGACAAACTTCAAAAATAATTTCTTCATTTTTTTTATTTTCAAAGAATCCAAGACTCAAAAGCCCATATTAATCTTTAATTCAAAATTAAAGAGCTTTCCGTATATGCAAAAACTTCAATTCGAAATTACTTATTTAAACAATTAGAGCTTTTTTTGCTCAAATCAACCTTTTTAGATTCAAAAATAACTTTTAATTGTGCACTTATTTTTAATTTTGTCATCAAATAATTTTTATATCAATTTTATCTTTAATCTTTCAAAAATTATCAACTAAGAACTTTTATCTATTTTTAAGATTTTTTTATCTGTATTTCTATCTAAATTATATTTATTTAATAACGATGTTATTTTGTAAAAAAACTTAATTTTTTCAAGTGTTCTAACATAATTCATTAATTGAGAAATTAAATAATTTAAAGCTAAAATTAATATAAAAATATTTGAATATAAAATTATACTATCCTAATAATTTGGAGATATATTTGAGATTTGTCCAAAAAACAATTTCCATTCCATAAAATTTTCTTCCGTTGGTCAAAGGCCTCCCTCCTTTAGTTTAACTAGCATTAACAAGCATTAACATTAGCATCCTCCCCTCTTTTAAAAGTTATTGATATGAAAATTTTCATGGTAAAAAAAAAAAAAACTTTATTTTTCTAGAAAAGTGAATTATAAATCAATACGTTTAGTTTTACAGAAAAATTAAATAGTTTATTTAGTATTAAAAATTAATTAATTAGTCTCTTGATTAATATTAATCATACTTACTTTAATATTATTTTATTTTAAAAATTGGTTTTTTATCAATTTTTTATATTAATTACTTCTTTTTTTAATTTCTTAACAAAATTGAAAAAATATAAAATGAATAAAAAGATTAATTAATTAGTTTTTAAAACTAAAAAAAAATATTTAATTCGTTTTGTAAAACTAAATAAATTAATTTATAATTTAATCTTTAAAAAGCTGATAAAAGGAACACTCGAAGGTAATGCTAGCTTAAAAAAAAAAAAAAAAAGAAAAAAAAATCCCCACTTCCGTTCTTTCTTCACAAAATACTCTACTTAGTCGCAAGGATAGGTAATTTTTTTCACATGGCTTCTTCTTCGTCTTCAACAACTAATCCTCAAGAAAAATACGACGTCTTCCTTAGTTTTAGAGGAGAGGACACTCGTGTCAGTTTTACCAGCCACCTTTATGCTGCTTTGAAGCGGAAACAAATTTTGACCTTCATAGACTATGAACTTAACAGAGGGGAAGAAATTTCTCCATCACTTTTGAAAGCAATTGAAGAATCCAAGCTTTCTGTGGTTGTTTTCTCTGAGAACTATGCATCTTCCAAATGGTGCTTGGAGGAACTTGCAAAGATTCTTGAATGCAAGAAAACTAAAGGCCAGATGGTTATACCCGTGTTCTATAGGGTTGATCCATCTCATGTGAGGAACCAAGTTGGAAGTTTTGCCGATGTATTTGCTAGGCATGAACAGTTATTGAAGGAAAAGATGGACAAAGTGCAGAACTGGAGAGCTGCTATGAAGGAAGCAGCAAATCTATCTGGGTGGGATTCAGAGAACATTAAGTAAGTTGCTGCTTTCTTTAATTTCATTCTGGGTTTTCATTTATTGAAACTCCGGTATTTTTGGCTAGTGCATATGTAATTTAACAGAATTGATTAAAGAATATTTTCATCTTAATCTGATTAATAGTTGTTTAATGGTGTTTATTTACTTTAATTCATGTTTCCTTATCAATTACCAGTAAAAATATCCTTAATCGCTTTGGAAATGATGATCTTTGCATAGATGTATGTATTGATGTTGCTATGGAGTGCCTGATATTCTGTTCTGGTTTACTCCAACTAAAAACAACTATGTCTTCCTTGTTTATTAGGTCAGAGTCTGAATTTGTGGAGGACATTGTTAAAGATATTTTGAGCAAATTGTATAAAACATCTCTGGGTACTCAGCATATGAGCCTAGTTGGAATTGATGCACGCATTAAGAAAGTTGAATCTTTGTTGAATATGGAGTCACACAATGTTCGGATTGTAGGGATATGGGGAATGGGTGGTATAGGTAAGACAACTATTGCTGGAGCGGTATATGATAATGTTTGTGCTCAATTTGAAGGGTTCCACTTTGTTGCAAATGTTAGGGAAGAATCAAAAAGACATGCAATGGTGGATTTGCAAAGACATATCCTTTCACAACTACTAGAACAAGACATTCTTAATATGGGTCATTTGAGTTTCAGAAATGCTTTTGTAATGGACAGACTTCGCCGTAAAAAGATCCTTATTGTTCTTGACGATGTGGATAGTTCAAGGCAATTGGAAGAATTGTTACCTGGGCAGCACGCTTCATTTGGTCCAGGAAGTAAAATTCTTGTAACAAGTAGGGATAAGCAAGTGCTTAGGAATGTGGTGGATGAAATCTATGATGTTGAGAGACTGAACCACCGGGAAGCTCTTAAACTCTTGAGGTTGAAAGCCTTCAAGAATTACAACCCCACAATTGATCAAAGAGAGTTGGTAGAAAATATAGTAGATTATGCACAAGGAAATCCTTTGGCTCTTATAGTTTTGGGTTCTGCTCTCAATGGTAGAAGCAAAAAGGACTGGTATAGTGCATTGAATAAGTTAAGGAAAGTTTCTAACCGTGAAATTCAAAATGTGTTGAGAATTAGTTTTGATGGGCTTGATGATGAACAACAAGAGATATTTCTTGATATTGCATTCTTTTTCAATGGGGCAAATAGGGACCGCATTACAAAAATTTTAGATGGTTGTTACGCATCTGCTCATTCTGATATAAGCATTCTTATTGATAAGTCTCTCATAACAGTACCTGGTTGCACTGTCAAGATGCATGATTCACTACAAGAGATGGCTTTTAGCATTGTTCGTGAAGAATCTAAAATTCCAGGCAAACGTAGCAGATTATGTGATCCTGAGGACGTCTATCATGCATTGGTGAAAAAGAAGGTTAAAGCTAAAGTCATCAACTTTTCTTCTTTTCCCTCCTGTGATATTTTAGCATGCTACACGTTTATTAAAAAGATGAATTTTCAAGTGGTCTGCAAAGAATATAATGCTTGTTTATTCTCTACCATTGATTTTAGGGAACTGAGGCAATTGAAGGCATATGCTTGGAGATGTCTGAATCACGTGAAATGCACTTAAAATCTGATGCCTTTTCAAGTATGGATCGTCTTAGATTGCTCAAATTTTATGATAATTTTTCTTGGGATGATATTTTCTTAATGGACGACAAAGATAAAGTGCACCTCCCTCATTCTGGTCTTGACTATCTTTCTGATGAGCTGAGATATCTCCATTGGGATGGATTCCCTTTGAAAACCTTGCCACAAAATTTTTGTGCTGAAAACATTGTTGAGCTTATTTTCCCTGATAGCAAGATTGAAAGGCTTTGGACAGGAGTACAGGTATGATCTATTTGTTGTAAACAAATCTATATATGAATTATAAAGTTAAGATGCTCAATCTTTTGTTGTGCTTTTTTCCCTTGTTTTGTTATTACAGAACCTTGTGCATCTAAGATGTATTGATCTCAGTGGCTCCCCATATTTGCTTGAAATCCCAGATCTTTCAAAGGCCAAAAATATAGAGAGTATAAATCTGAAATTTTGTAAAAGTTTAATAGAGGTACACTCCTCTATTCAATTTCTCAACAAGCTGGAGGTCCTTCAGCTCAGTTATTGTGACAATCTTACCCGTCTTCCAAGCAGTATTGGTTCGAAAGTTTTGAGAATTCTTGACCTATCTTACTGCAACAATGTCAGATTATGTCCTGCGATTTCAGGGAATTCAGCAGTTCTTAGAAAGGTTGATCTACAATACTGCTCAAATATTACGAAGTTTCCGGAGATTTCAGGGAAAATAAAATATCTATATTTGCAAGGGACTGCAATTGAAGAGGTGCCTTCATCAATTGAGTTTCTCACAGCACTTGTTAGATTGTATATGACCAACTGCAAACAGCTTTCTAGTCTTCCCACCAGCATCTGTAAACTGAAATCCCTTGAAATTCTTGGTCTATCAAGTTGCTCAAAACTTGAGCGCTTCCCAGAAATCATGGAGCCCATGGAATCCTTGAGACGTCTTGAGTTAGATGCAACAGCTATTCAAGAGCTACCTTCATCAATTAAACATCTGAAATTTTTGACACAACTTAAGTTAGGTGTAACAGCTATTAAAGAGCTATCCTCATCAATTGTACAACTGAAATCTTTGACACATCTTGATTTAGGTGGAACAGCTATTCAAGAGCTACCCTCATCAATTATATATTTAAAATGTTTGAAACATCTTGATTTAAGTGGAACAGTTATCAAAAAGCTACCAGAACTTCCACTGTCACTTGCAGCTCTAGATGTAAATGACTGTGAATCACTTGAAACCTTATCGAGGTTCAATCTAAGCAATTTCCAGGAGTTGAACTTTGCAAAGTGCTTCAAATTGGATCATAAAGAACTATTGGCAGATATACAATTGAAAATTCAGGTAAATCTTCATAAACCTTATCTGCTTCTAATGTCATATTTTGATATTCTAAATATTACTAAATGCTTTCTGTGTCAGTCTGGACAGATTAAAGATGAAAATTTTCAAATCGTGTTACCGGAGAGTGAAATTCCGCTATGGTTTTGTGATCAAACTATGGGATCTTCAGTTACTAAACAGTTTCCCTCAAACTGTCAGCAGCTCAAGGGAATTGCTTTCTACATAGTCTTTGCATCTCCCACACCACTTCTGTTTGATTGTGTCAATTTTGGATGCAAATGCCATGCCAAAAGTAATAATGGTGAGCATGATTATGTCATTTTCATGGATGCACAGCCTAAAGCTGCAGTATTCAAGTTCCATGATTCAGATCACATGTTATTATGGTATGAGAGCACAAGAAAAGGTCTTTTTAGTGAATATTCAGGCAATGAAGTTACATTTGAATTCTACAACAAAATTGAGCTTTCCAAGATGAAAAGGTGTGGGATCTATTTCTTATTTGATAATAATTGATCCAGCAGTTCTGATGAGGATTCCAGTGATCAAGATGACTACTGACGAGATTTATTATGAATGATTAAAATTCCCACCATTGCTGGTCGGGAATTCAATGTTTTGCTTTGAATGAGAATGAAATATTCTAATTCCTTCAAGACTGAGCTGCAAAGTCTATATCCCACCTGTCAGATTATCTTTATGTCCTCCTTTGCTTCTTGAGTTTGTGTATTTTGTTCCCCTATGGGGCATCACATTTTCGGTTTCTACCTCGATTCACCAGTAACTCACCCTTTCTATTTTTATTTTTATTTTTTCTTGAAAATTGTTTAATTTATTGTTAATAATGTTTTGTTTCTAATCTACTAATTAGTATTGGCAGAACAACCAACAAATCAACTCCAATTTCTGTACTTTTCTTTGAAGTTTAGATGCAGAAAATAGACATAATGTTCTAGTAAATTGGAAAGTGAATAGAATATCCACTTCATTTGACATCTATGCAGTCCAAATGACTTGCTTTTCAGGGAATTTTAGGAAGGATTTGTGGCTTTTTATTTTATTATATTCGGAGCATTAGTCATGGAAATGAACTCAGCCGTTTTTCGTTTGACTGATTATGAATGATAGAAATTCCTCAACATTAACCAGCATAGTCTTTATCCCAGAAATGGGATTCTCTTTATGCTCTTCCTGTTTGTTGTACTTTCCTTATTTGTTTAACTTCTGGAACATTGCAGCTTTGGCTTCTGTTGATGACAATGGATTTGTCTTCTCCTAAGTTCTGTTGAAGGAAGGACTGATTACTGAACTTCATTTCCCATGGTTCTATTAAATAGAGATTCACATAACATTTACTATTTGCTAGTCTATTTAGAGTTGAACTCAAGACATGCAAAAATGAAAGACTGGACTAAAATTCACTTCCATTGCTATAGTTGTACACTTTTTAGGTGAACACCCACCCACTACTGTGACTAAATCCTGCAGCTGACAAGCATTGACCGAGGCCTCTTTTGACATAAAGCTTATTGCCAAAGCTCTATGTAATGCACATATAAACTTGCACGTGACTTTTTTCTAATACCTTTTGATGCATTGATCTGTTGGTTCGCAATATAAATTACATTTTTCATGTGATCAGACTTTCAGCTGTTGAGTTCAGTCTACATTTTTCACAAAATGGAATCATTGCTGAAAAATGATAGAAATTAAACTGCAGGTTTGATATGCTGCATCTACCTGTGACTATAATCACAAATACGATTTAGATATGACCAATGCAACTGATTTTCTGCTTGTTTGATTGAGGTTGTTCGCTTGATTTTACAAATAAGAAGTAATTGTTTAGTTTTATGGAAACTTGATGAATGTTTATAGTTATAATATAAATCATTTTCTGTGACCTTCAACACAGGAAAGTGAGGCTTGGCAGTATGAGTCGGACTATTTGCTTAGTCGAAAGGCAATCTGTTTTCAAAATGCAGGTATACATTTTCTACTTAATTTCTAAATGAAAAAATCTGACTACCTTTTCTCATTCCAACTAAAATACAATTCGAATTATCAAAGATTCAAGACATGATGACAAGAAGCCATTAGCTCTTACCCCCTTGACATTCCAAATATGTCTCAACTTGAAGCTCTTAGCTGACTTTTTTTTCAGGATTTGCAGGGTATGTAATAACTCGCAGCTGATTATTCTTGGCATTCTATTATTTTTATTATTATTTAAATGTTTGATTTAGTTTTCATCAGTATATTTTATTTGGCAGAAATTGGGCTTGATTGTTATCCCTGATGGAGGTTCCTGTGGACAAGGGGAAGAGAATTAGCAGCGATGAGGATGTTTACTCCAATTCTTTTTCTTGATCAAAAGATGGCAACGAATTGTGGCATGAGTTTTGGCATGGAGAAGCAGTTAGCACCGCACCTCGCATTACTAGATCCTCATTTCTTTGCTGTGGTGAAATCTGTTTTTCCCAGTTAGGGCACTGTGCATCAAAGGAGAAAATTTGTTGGGAACAGCTGCTCAAACTGCTTTTGGTAAATCATGAATGCAACAAGCATCACCTGAGGCCTACTCTTTTTTTTTTTTTTTTTTTCACATGGCATATTGTAATATATTTGTACAAGAATATATAATAGCAAGCTTTCAGCCAACTTTTGAATCCAATGATCCGCTAGTCCTGCTAGAATTTCCATAATTGTGAAATACTAGTAGTTTTACAAGAGTCAGATATATAATTGAGCTGCTAATTTCCAACCAAACCTTTTTAAACAGTTTAGGGTTTGCCGTTAATTGGGCCAAGTTTAATAACTCATCTAGTACTACCTTCGGCTCTCTGTATTAACAGGATGCTCCTTGATTTTTTGTATCAATTTAAGCCAACTGCACCTATAAAACTACGTCTGTGATGCTTTGAAGCAGAAGCAAATCCAACCTTTCATAGATAATAAGCTTGAGAGGTAAATAAATTTCCCTATAACTTGTGAAAGCAATTCAAGTCTGAAGAATAAGTTTTCTGTCATTATCTTTTCTGAAGACTATGAATCTTCCAAATGGTGCTTAGATGAGCTTGCAAAGATTCTAGAATGCAGAAAAAATAATGGGCAGATAATAATTCCTATATTCAAGGTTGATTGATGCAATTCCCAATTCCACACTGAAGTATGAAAGAAAATTTGCAAGATTCTAGTAATTGAAATGAATGAAAAACTTTTTATTCAAGAACTGAATCAACACTACAAATCCACAATACAAGTTGACAAGAAAACATAAAATAAGAAGAAGAAGAACGAAACGAGTATAGAGAGAAATTACAAAGAGAATAACCACTTTTCAAGAATGATTCTCTAAGCTTCTCTCTTCTCTCCTTAATACTAATGAAATCATTAAGATAACAATTAGGCTAACAACAATCCCGACTAACTAATAACAAGCACCCACCTAATCATTTTAACAACTCACATGTGTTTAACGTTCTTCTTCTTTCATTCTATGTGTCATCCACATGTCTTTATTACTAGGTCACATTTGTAACGCCTCCGCCCCAATCATATTTCTACTACCCAAGTAGAATACTAGACGAAGCGCGTTACGCCGACATACTCTAAACTCTAAGTAGTTCTCTTATGATATTCTTAAAATTTTAACAACACATTACGTATATAACTCCTTAAGGTAAAATTTACATCACATAATTAAATACATTAATAAAACATTACGAGCAATATTCAATTTCTCACGAACTCCATACCCTAAATTTACGAGACAAAATAAAAACTAATATATGGTGTCTCACATGAGCCGGTTAGGAGGAGCCAGCCGCATCCGTACCAACTTGTCATTTTCCGTCATGACATAAAAAATAACAACGAGGAGAGCCGAAGCTCGGTAAGCGGGGTGATACACGTGATATGCAATGTTGTTTTGACTTCCCACCCTACTCATAAATTTTAATCTGGGGTACCCCGGGTATTAGCTAGTCTACTCTATTTATCATTCGGGTGGTCCGCGAGATCACCTTCTGCTACAACGGAATTATCCCTCGTTGTAACTAGTGTTAGCGGGAATCCAACGTCTAATAGTGCAAGCACACAACTTGATTTCATCCGGATGATCCTCGGATCATCTTCTCGCTACAACGGAATTACCCCTCGTTGTAACTACTATTAGCGAAAATCCATCGTCTAATAGTGCGAGCACACGACCTAGAGTACTAGACTACTAATACCCATTTATTTTTAATTCGGTTACCAAACCGTGTCATTTCATGACTCGATAATTTTTCTCAACTTATTCCACCCCCAATGCACGTCATGCACGTGATGACATGTTTAATCACATTCAACTAAACTCGGGTACCAACCCTTCCTTCTTAAGCCATACTCACGATTCAACCAATACTCGGGATTCACCCGTCGCTCACATACCAATCATGGTACTCATAGCGGGAACACAACCTCTCGCTTATTAATATTGTTTATTAGTTTCATTAATATTTAAAAGAAGGTCCAAATCTTTTTCTTATTTCCTCTCTAAAAGAATAAATTTTCTTTAGAATTTTCAAATCCCTTCTATTTCTATATAAGTCCACTTATTTTAGTCCAAGCCCATTTTTTTCTTATTCCGGGCCCATTAACTTTATCCAAGTTTATTAACTTAATTCTAAGTCCATTGACTTTATTTAATTCCATTTTATTTATTCCAAGCTCATTTAGTTTATTCCAAACCTATTAATTTTGTCCAAGTCTAATTTTTTTGGTTTTAGGGTTTATTACTTGGCAACTACTAATCGAGTAAATAATTTTTCAATTTCAGAACATAATTAAATCTTAACCATTTTATTTTAGATACTAGAAATATTTATTTATAATATATCCAAAAATTAGGTCTAAATACCAAGTACACAATTGATTACAAATTTTTGAAACTTAGGGAGCAATCTGCCTAGTTGTAGTTTGTCTAGAGCTATCCATACTAAATCAGGTATAACTCTTCATACACAAATCCAATGACCAAGAAATTTTAAAGGGAGTTAGTTGAAACATAGATGAACAACTTTTATTCTTTAATTTTCACCCAGACATCATCCTAAAATCCTTGAACATGCATCCCAAAATTCGAACAGAATTTACTCCTTATCAACACTAATTTATTAGTTCATTCCAAGCCAACTTTAAACATGTTTTAATTCACTTAAATTTAGTCCAAGTCCAATCCAACCCATCACCACATACTTGGACATTTTTCAAAACATCATAACATCATAAATCATCACAAAAAGGCATCCATACATAGATTTATCCCAAGCATCAAGCATATAACCATTGAAAATTATTACAACCCATGAAATAAACACTAACAAAATAACTTTAAAAAAAATAATTTAAGACATTAATCAACCAAAAAAAAAAAAAAGGAACCTACTTACCTCTTTTAGGGTTGATTAGAATTTCCTTAGCTCTTTTCCTTTTCTTTTTCCCTGTCTCTTTTTTTTCCTTTCCTTTCTCTCCTCACGTTTTTCTTCCTTTCTTTTCTTTCTTGCCTTTTCTCTCCC